AGACGTTCAGACATCCAGAAGATGGATGGTGGTATGGACTGACAGACAGAGGGACAGACACAGACAGAAGCACACAGAGTGACAGAGGGACAAACAGACAGGCAGACACGGACCGAGACAGACGGAAAGCAGACAGGCAGACAAACGGACTTCCCAAAATAAGTAACCTTACTTTTAGGAGCAGAGAGTAAACAGTGCGTGCCATCAGTGACATGCGACAAAATCGAGAAGGCTGATCAAACGAATTAGTAAACTTTTAAAAAGGTGTCCTTCTAATGATTTGAACACATTTCTATTTCTGCAAGTAACACCTGTTGTGGTAAATAGAAAGTCATCAAGTCAAAGTCAAATGTTCCTCCTCTTCTCCCGTCAGGCCCACGGATGTCCCCTCTTCCACCTTATCTCCCATCCCTCCTCCCTTCTCTCCTCCCTTCTCCCCTCCCTTCTCTCCTCCCTTCTCTCCTCCACCCCCTGAGCCCCCCCATCCTGAGCCCCATCCCCCTTAGACTGTCTGATAGGTAAATGTACAATTTCTGCTGCTTGGCAGATTTGTGGGGCTCCTCGCCTTTGAGTTTTTTTTTTTCAACGCTTCCACAACTCTCCAGGATCTCTGTCCATTCATGATGCCATGCATGTTTGCCTTTTTCTTCTTCTTCCAGACGTGAACGGCGACCCGCCTGTCAGCCAAGTAAATTCCAGTTCTATTCTACATCCACTGTTACCTAACACTAAGGCATACTTCCTGCCTGCCTCTGAGAACACTGATTTAAAGCTATAATAAGTCCAGGTTCATGATGGCGTACTTGATGGTCAGCCGGCAAAGGCGATGAATGTCCACATTCACTGAATCCCAGCGCAAGAAGGACATGGCCACTGACATCCATTGCTGAAACATTCTCTTCCTATGGCTGCCCTCTTCTTCACAAACCTTTCATGCTCTTATCTTGTTTCTCCATGTAGCTCTTCAAAGGCTTACATCAGCCCCTTCTCCCAAAAGGAGTTTAGAAAACCCCCTCCTCGGAAATGGGGGTTACGATAACCCCTTTCTCCCAAAGGGAGTGTACAAACCCCCCTTTTTGCAAGGGGGCTTACACCCCCCCCTCCTTCTCCCCAAGTCGTGTCGAATCATCACCCTTTGGTGGTTAGTGAGGAAGGGAAGGTCGCAGAGATGATGAATGGGCCGTGAGTAAATTGGCGACGAATGGACGTGGATGGACCCGATTGGTGTTGTATTCGTTGGCAGATAACTGTAAACAAGTAATACTCCTCGACCTTGTTCCTGCGTCTTTCCCCCCACTGTTCCCCTTCTCGACCCCTTCCCGCCCCCTTCCCACCCCCCTCCTCTTAAAACATCCAAATTTAAAATTTTGCAATTTTACCCCTGTTGGATCGTCAAACTCTTTCAATTCTATCCCTGGTGGATTGTCCAGCTCTTTCAATTCTATCCCTGGTGGTCCACACTCCTCCCACCTGGCTAATCTGCCATATGCCTGCCAGCACCTCTTGAGAGCCCTTGCCAAATTGCAATTTTACCCCTGTTGATAAATCTTGCCCGCTTCTTTGCGAAGGTGCACTCATTTTTAACTCCGAGTTCGACTGCTGAGGGAGGGGGCTCTGCTTTGCTTGCACAAGTGCTTGACGGCTAAAAATAGCAAACATAGTGTCCGCTGCTCAATATCGAGGGCAGGCCGGTTCACCTCATCTAGTCCAGTTCCTACAGACCCGCAAGCAGTACAGTGCACTTTGTGCGATTCCTCTATAACGCTTTCAGTAACTTAAAGGCGCCTTTTGCAAACTCAGATCTAATTTTTCCTAAGATGGTAACCTGAATTGTGGATAGGGCCCAATTTCCTAAGATGGCAACTTAAGCCGAATTGTAGTAGATAAATTGTACAGAAATGGCCAGAAGTGGGAAAGCTGGACCGTGACCCATTCAATTTGACAGCACAACAACTTGCAGTAACCGTGTGCATGAATCTTGCCACCTTTTTCGTGATGATTCACTCGCCGTTGGATGCATCTTGCCACCTTAAAGTTTGTGAAGATACACCCACCATCAGAGGCTCAGTACTGGATACGCCCATCTGGAGTCCCTAACATTTAGTCATCCGTAAACTGATCTCTGCCACTTGAAACTCCACATCCCTCACAGCAGACTGCACTGACAACGAGAATGACTTTCATGTGGTATCGTCACTCACAACACCATTCGCCCCATCTGCTTGCCTCAACACGGGGCCTGATTTCCTGCAACCTAGCAAAGCACCCCACTCCAGTGACAGTTCTGACATGGTGGTGGTCATTGTGTTTCTGTGGGCGTCTGTGTGTGGGGGGAAGGGGCTTCTTCTTTTGTGTATGTGTGTGTGTGCATGTGTGTGTGTGTGTGTGTGTGTGTGTGCATGTGTGTGTGCATGTGTGTGTGTGTGTGTGTGTGTGTGTGTGTGTGTGTGTGTGTGAGAGAGAGAGAGAGAGAGAGAG